GTGTACTGTGACAAAATGAAGAAATAGTAAATTGGACGTGATTCGAAGATAATGCAGGAAACGAGGAAACTAACACTAGGGAAGAAGTTAGCAGTGGCTCGAGCTTGAAATAATCTAATAAAACCACCTAATAAATACTTCGTTGCAAAAATTGTGGTGACCAAATTCACCCTAAACTTAGCCCAGAAACATCCAGTGCTGAAAGAAAAGGAAAGCCACCTCTCCAGAATCTCTAAACTCTGCTACGTCGATGAAACTAAGAAAACTATCGAAAACATTCTCAACATTTCATTCGTAACGAAATGGAACTCGAATAGAACGTTCCACGCTGTAGCGTATCTCAATCTGCGGGGTGACTCGACGAGTGTCACAGGCAAAGTGTCATCGTGGAAGTTGAAAAGAAGGGCTGAACGCGAAATACCCCTTAAAATGGCGGAAACAGAGGTAGAGAGGAGACGGGCCATGTTCCATCACGTAGTCGCCCATAAAGGATAATTGCAACGGCGGTGGCGGCCTGTGGCTAGCAACAGAGCAAATATTTTTGGAAGATCGATTCCCAACCCCTGGCCACCCACGCCGCCCCGTCACGCAGTTTCGATTTTAGGCGGCTGGCGAAGAATGAACGTAGACGGAAGATGGAGCCTCCGTATGCGTGCCTCTCGGATCTGGATCCCGAAAACGCTTCGTCCGGATCGATACGCTTAGATTCCTCGATATTGGCGATGCTCGGCCGATAACGTCGCCCACGAGCTCGGCCATGAGCCCTGCGGCTCGTTAATAATTTCTCTTCGTGCGGCACGGCATAGCTGTTCCTGCCGACGTCGATCGCGCACAGCTGACGTATCTGCCGTCCCTTCGAAGGGAGGACAGAGGGAGGTAAAAAAGGAGGCGGAGAGGGAAGGAAGAAGGTCAGGTGGAACGGATCGTCGCCGACGGTCACTGAAAACTGGCCACAGAACCATGCAACATCAAGTTAGAAACTGGACCGAGTTTCCAGTCAGGTTCACAATCGTACGTAACGTCAGAACAACGGACGACACTTGGACCTGGGAACACCGAAATATTCGGGCAATCCGGTGATACACTTAGGGACCGTTTAGCCAAGTCCATGATCTTACAGTGGCAGGAACGAGAGATGACACTCGGGCGAGAGACACCAGAAACCACAGGGGTCTGACAATTTGGGCGAATGTTAACTATGAGGGAGGACGAGTAAACGAGAGAACTAGCTGTCAGCGAGAGTCATGCAGAGCGCAGAGCGCGTGAAAAGTCGACTCGACGACCACGGTTTCTAGCGTGAAAGAGGAAAACCTCGCGAGAGTGGGAGAGAGACAGAGGGAGGACAGAGAGAAATCAATAAGCGGTCTATCGACGGACTGTGTGGCTGGTCGGACAGGAATGTTTCGGGCTTGGTATCTAGCTAGTCAATGTGTTTCGTCGAGGACGTGGACACGGGGGGACGTGAATCCCCAAGACCCGTTGTTTCTCGTCCGACCTGTGTTCTCTGTCGTTTTCCTTTTTCTTTCTCTTTAAATCCCAGAACATTTTCTGTGTACCTCCTGAGAACGTTGATCCTCTTACTGTCGATCGCTGAATAGCTTAGGGATGCACACGGCGCGTCGCACTCGGCCCTTGTACCTCGCCTCGAACGTTGAACGGACTCGGGAACGCGAGTCTCCGGAGGTTTGCCGACACACGACGTAAGCACGACGGCAGCACAACCGGGGGTTGGTTTCGCGACGATTTTATAGAGACTGGACTGGCCTCGGTAAAGCCTCGCGCCACTGTAGCCCGCTATAGCTAAAATATCGACCATTTCGTGGACCCCCGCCCGTCCTCGGACCAATCCCGAGGAAGGCCGCGCCTGCGCCGCAGGCAACCCGACTGACATCTCGAAACCGGTAACGGAACCCCGGACTCCGCTGGGGGATGGACACTTGTTGATTTTCCGATTCGTCGCCGCCTACGACGATCCCCGTAAATTTCGAATATTCCCCCCCCCCCGC